GACTGGGATGTGGTGCTTCTTACTCTGCCATCTTGGTTCTGGTATTTCTTAATGGAGTCTCTTGAAGAGTCATAGTTGTTATTTTTAATGACATCCAATTTATCAATGTCTGCTTTTATGGATTTTTCTTTTTGTGATGTATCTAAGAACTCTTTGCTTAACCTAAGCTCATGAAGGTTTTCTCCTATAGTTTCTTCTAAAAGTTTAATAGTTTTAACTTTTACATTTAGAGTTATAATTTATTTTGAATTAATTATTTTGTATGATGTGAGGGAAGGATCTAAATTAATCTTTTTGCATGTGGATATCTAATTGTTCCAGCACCATTTGTTGGAAAGACTATTCTTTTCCTACTGAATTATCTTGACATCTGTATTGAAAATCATTCACCACAAATGTAAGGATTTACTTCTGGACTGTCTATTCTATTCCATTAATTTATATGTCTTTTATGCTAGTACCACACTCTCTTGAATCCTATAGTTTTTAGTAAATTTTGAAAGTGAGAAATGTAAGTCTCCCAGTTTTATTACTTGTTTTCAAGGTTGTTTTGGCTCTTCTGGGTCCTTTGCACTTCCATATGAATTTTAGGATCAGCTTGTTAATTTCTGCAAAATAGCCTGCTGGGATCTTGATAGGTATTGCATTGACTCTAGAGATCAATTTGGGGAGAACTGCCATCCTAACAATATCGAGACTTCCAAACTATGAATATGGTATGTCTTTTCATTAATTGGGATCTTTTATTTATCTCAGGTATGTTTTGTTTTCAGTATACAAATCTTGTATTTTTTAATTAAAATTTTTTCTAAGTATTTTATTCTTTTCAATGTTATTTTGAATGGAATTGTTTTCTTAATTTTATTTTTGGTGTTGGTCATTGCTAGTATATAGAAATAAAATTGATTTTTAAATATACATCTTGATTAACTAATTTATTAGTTCTAGATTTTTGTTTTTGTTGTTTTGGCGTGGATTCTTTAGGATTTCCCACATGGAGGATGTTTCTATATAAAGCAGTCTATGAATACCCCAACTCCTTTTACCTTTACTCACTTAGCCATATTTATCCTTAAAACCCTCATTCTTTGTATCTGCTTCCAAGTTGTTAAACACTAGGCCCTTACTTCCTTCAATACCATTCTAAATCCTCACTATTCTGCTTATGCTCCCCTGTGCTACTCCCCATCAGCAGCTGTGTATCTTCCCTCAGATTTCAAGGAGAAAGTTAAGGTTACTAACACAGGCAGACACTGCAAATCAAATGATGCCTAAGTTTCAGAGCTCCTCACTCAGGACTCCCTTCAAAGGTTCTGGAAGGGATCCTAGGAAAAGTAAGATGGTTTAATTTTAATTGTTTAAAAATTCTGTCTCTTTCCACTCTCGCTTCCTCTCTGTCACACTTCTGACGTCCGTATGGCATTGGAATAGTCACAGGCATTTTGGAATCCGAGTAAGAAAAGTTGAGTTGGCAATACACTATTGCAACTACCATTTGGAAAAACATTTTTGAATGCTTTAAAAAAACAAATAAATTACCTACTACAGATTTTGGATGTGCATGAATTAAAAAAAAAAAAAATCAGTGGAGTAAAAGCAATCAAGATCAGCAATTTAAGCAATAGAAGTTATTCAGCATGAAGAAGCAAATTGTATCAATTTTTTTCAGATCACATTAAAAGCAAATTCATTAAAAGAAAGAGATATATTTTCAATAAAAGCTTTTGAATTATTTGATAATTCATTCAACGAAGGGAAGCTAATTATCTGAATACACTGGAGAAAGATTTAAGTTACTGATTTGACCAGAAGTACTAATTTTGGTAAAAATAACATAAAAATCATAGTGTATCATTCAAAAACGGCATCTAAGATAAACTGGTTCATGAGTTTTCATCATTTCAAAGACAATTTAAGATTAGTCATTTTCCAAGAAAACTTGAAATGCCAAAAAATCTTATAATTCATATATGAAAAAAATTAATGATTTTCCCAGATCTGTCAACCCTAAGTATTTACATGCTATTACCAATAATTGGCTGTGAAGCTGATCTTTCTAAACTATTAATAATTAAAAAAAGAATGGTCATACTAGGGGAAATCTGGCTGTATAATCTTTACGTTCTCACCAAGTAAAGTGATATTACCAAATGACCCTCACATGAACGGGTGATTGTAGAGCATGTAGCCAAATGCCATAGGGAAAATAAAATTGTAAAGCTGTGTTACTTATTAAAAAGTTATATTGTTTTTCTATATTTTGTGATATTCATGGAATTTATCAACTTTTTAAATTTTATAATTTGTTGTGATTTTTTAAATTCTAAAACAGTTACTACTTTTTAGCCTAACTTTGTAGTTACCATTTTTTGTATTTATTTTTAAAGGAGGTTCTCCAAATCATGTTGTTGTTATGTGCTGTCAAGTCAATTTTGACTGATAGCAACCCTTGTGACAGAGTAGAACTGCCCCATAGGGTTTCCTAGGCTGAAATCTTCAAGCAAGCAGATCACCTGGTCTCTTCTCTCATAGAGCCGCTGATGGGTGCCAATCGCAACCTTTTGGTTAGCAGCCGAGCACTTAACCATGGCACCACCAGAGATCCTTCTGCAAATCATAGGTCTCACAAAACTTGGATCTGCCTGAAGCTGTCTCCTGCCTTTTTCCCTACAGAGGCATCTACGTCCACATCCAGTCTTTTCTTCTATTAATGTCCCTGTTAAGTCCTGACGCCCATGTTCAGGGCCTGCTCCAGGCAGCTGTCCCACACTGGGCCCCTTAGCCCCCTAACCTTGACTTAGTTTCTGGTCCCTGTCTTCCTGCCACACCAGTGCCTGGCTGCACACTCAGGCTTCCCATCTTCACCTTGGCTTCCTTGATGCAGTGACCCATTTGCACTATTTCTCTGCTTTCTGAAATCAACATCCCTATTACCTCCCAGCTCTGCGTGCTGCTAATAGGGATCCCCTGTGGCTTCTGATCACCCAGGCGGACCTCACTTACCACACAGAATCACACCATCCTGCTTCTTTCTGGCCAAGGCTTATCTTTCAGCCTTTGCTTTGTATCTGTCCCTTCTAGAACTTAGCACAACAAATTATCCCATCTCTTTTCTGTGTTTTTAGCCTCTGTGACTGCACTAATACTGTCTGCTCAGCTGTATATATACTCAAGTGTGTCCCATCCTAACCACCTACTCTGTATTTTCCTGTTTTTCTCCTTGCCTCCTCAAGTCACGGTTCTTGACAGCTGGTACGACATGACTGCCTGTATGTTTTTCATCTCTGCTTTACTGCTTAGCCCTTTCCTACCTAATACCTCATCATTCCCACTGAAACTGCTCTCTCTGAGATTACCAAAATCTCCTTAATGTCAGATGCAATGAACTCTGTTTTAGCGTTTATCTGATGTCTTCAACACTGACCACTACTATCTTCTTGAAATTCCCTTATCCTCTGGCTTATCTGACATTATTCTTTTGGTTTTTCTCCTAACTTACTGGTTGCTCCTTCCTAGTCTTCCTTGGGAGCCTTGGTGGGGCAGTGTTTAAGAGCTACAGCTGCTAACCAAAAGGTTAGCGGTTCGAATCCACCAGCTGTTCCTTGGAAACTCTATGGGGCGGTCCTACTCTGTCCTGTACGATTGCTGTGAGTCAGAATTAATTTGAAGGCAACGGGTTTGGTTTTTTTTTTTTAGTCTTCTATAAGGAATTAGTTTCTGTTATAGTACCTTAAAGGCTTTTGTTACCTTCAGCACTTCTCACTTCCTCATTCCTTCAACTTAGTGATCTATTTTATCCACTCACTCATTCATTTTACGTTACTTCTTGAGCATGTTGTTGTTGTTAGGTGCCATCAAGTGGGTTAACTCACAGCGACACTATGTACAACAGAATGAAACACTGCCCCGTCCTGCGCCATCCTCACAATTGTTGCTATGTTTGAGCCCATTATTGCAGCCACTGTGTCATCTCGTTGAGGGTCTTCCTCTTTTTTGCTGATCCTCTGCTTTACGAAGCATAATGTCCTTCTCCAGGGACTGGTCCCTCCTGACAACGTGTCCAAAGTACGTGAGATGAAGTCTTATACTATGTAGTAAACACTGTGCTAGGTTCTGAGGAGACCGTGATGAATAAGACAGATACCATCTCCGTGTCATAGGTCTTGGTCTGCTCAGGAAGGTAAATATTAAACAGATGATTACACTCCCATGGCTTTAGTCATCACCTTTTTTGCTGATAACTCCCGGATCTATATCTACATCTTTCTTGGTGATTAGGAAAACTATAACCATGACATTTGAAGTAATAAAAATCACTGAGATAGCAAAAAACATGTAATTACTTGAGCCGTGGCATCTAAGGAAGCAAAATCATTGGATCAGTCATTTTAAAATTCATTTTTATCATTACCCCAAGTTTTACACTACCTGTGGAATGATGATATATGGAAGAATGCTGTCTAAGAATCTTTGATTCTCATTTAGACTTCATGACAGAATTGCTTTTGACCTAATTTTCTTCAATAAATGTTTGCCATTGGATTAATAAAAAAATTAACAGGGTTATTGTTTATGAACATGTTTAACTATCTTCCTTTATAGTTAAAATAATAATAAAATGAAAATGAGTTAGAGTGACCATATGCCTTAGTGCACCTGGAATATTCCCGGTTTATATCTGTTGTCTCAGCATAATATAAATAGCACTCCCTTTCAATGGAAACCCTGGTGGTATAGTGGTTAAGAGCTTCAGCTACTAACCAAAAGGTCAGCAGTTTGAATCCACCAGGCATTCCTTGGAAACCCTATGCGGCAGTTCTACTCTGTCCTGTAGGGTCGCTATGAGTCAAAATCTACTTGATGGCAACAGTTTTTTTCACTTTCAAAATTATCTCCATTTACTTATATGGTCACTCTAAAACTATCTTTTAAAAGAAATATTTGTTATTATGCTTGCTATTTTTAAAAATCCTAATTTTTTTTTTTTTACTACTTTACAGTCAAAAATTGGTGGAGTACAAATATTTCTGGAATAAGACACTTTTATTCCTTACTTCTACTAAAAGGGAGCTAAGCAGTATTAAAAATGAAGTATATGATAATTTTCAAAACTGGACTTCATTGAAAGAAGAAGTTTTTCTGCAAATTAAATCCATAAGTGAAACAGCCTTGACAGGTTTGTTACGTATGTTTGGAACACAATTGTCTTTGTTCTTTTTTTAAACGTATGAAGCAGTGATATTTCACTTTATGTGACAGGAATTAGGATTAAGTTTATAAATCTGTTATTGCTTGGTAGACTAGATGACCATTAAGATCTACTGCAGCTTAGAGATTCAATAATTCTAGACTTATCTAAGAGAAACTATGATATGTCTTTCTTAAGCTGTGACCAGAAGTCTGGTTGTTGTTGTTAAATGTGCCAATTTTGTATTTTAAAGTTTCCTCTTCTGTTAATGGCAGGGTAGCGCATATTAGATCAGTCCTCCCACAGATAACAACTATAAATTCAATGCAAAATATGAAAAAGAACTTAACTGAAAACACTGGAGAGCAACCAAAACCACTGTGTTAAATAATAGCAATTATTTTTCCTCTTTATTTTGATGAGTAGGTTAGTTAACTTTCTTAGTGGTTACCGTGAAATTTACCCTTATCTTTCCAAGTTTGAAGTAGTCTATTATTACTAGGTATCGCCTTGCCTACCTCTTCATTAGAAGGTTCTGTACCTACACCGTTAATTCCCTCTTTTATTGTTCTGATGTTGTTGTCATTTACAGATTAACTGCTCTGATTCCCTGTTGTATTTCTTTTGGTTTTGGGTAGTCCTTGAGAGTTCATTTCCTAGATTAGTATCTGGCTGGTACGATCCTGCGTCCTAGATTCAGCTTGTGAGCTGAGTTGTTTGTTCTCAGATCGAAGGACTCCCTTTAATA